CTCTAATACTTGCCATCCATAGGATAATTTTTATTTTTTTGGATGCAGGATTTCTTTAGCACCCATTGAAATTATAGTCCTTTGGCTAGAAATGAAAACTGGTACTTAAACCAGTTTGATATTTCAATAATTCTAAATAATTTTTAAACATGTATGGCATATTCCATGAACTTCAATAGTAATTTATATATATGTAGATGGAAAGGAAACAAAACAAAACAAAAAAACTGTCTTTACCAAAGAGTATGCATTCTTCATATTGGACAAGATTGTCTTTGTCCTCAAAAAGTACAGGAAATTGAACATGTAATAATGAAGGCTTAATATTTGTGCACTGCTGGAGTGCTTCTGGGTGATTGTATTTTAACAAAAGTTAATGGCCAAGTAATGGAAATAATGAGCTGAAGTGAAAATCCAATATGAATTTGATAAGCAGAACATTTTGAATGAAAGTATACTAGAGGAAAAAATCTCCGTGGAACATTTCACGTCTTAGTACTCCTGGAGCTCATTAGTTTAGATTGAAAATGGACATGATTGATAAAGAAATCTAAAGGAATGTGTGCCGGTGATCTTTAAAAGTGATGGGGCAATACCTGGAGTTTCCTTACAAGAAAATGGAAACCAAAATAAAAGGGTAAAAAGAGTAAAAAAAAATTCTTTAAGAGGCTCCTCTGTTTCCATTAACTCTCTACATATATTTACCTATTTGCACATGGCCTATAATGTTGATGATGGAACAAATAAATGCTCAGTCTGCTATCAGAAACTATCTGAGAGATACTGAACTAGGAGTAGGTAAGGCTGAAGAGAATGGTCATGCCAGAATGATAAGTGTAGATTTGCAGTTCTGATGAACAAAGAATGTCACTTTAGAGAAATAGATTAATGAATAACATATTTATCACATGAAGAACCAAAATACTCCTTTATTCCCAGATAATAACTTAAATCTTTAGAATCCATTCCTATAACTACTGGAGAAAGAGAAACAGAAACATATGTCAGTATTCAAAGAATCAAAGGTTCAAATGATACCATCATCATCACCACCATCACTATAATCAGCAGCAACAGCATCAATATCATCACAAATAACATTCATGGAACATTTATTATACCAGCCATGGTATTTTATAAAATTTCTTTCAATTCCCACAACCCAATGTTTTACACTTTTGAATTCTGGTTTTTAAGTAAGGAAATAATTTTATAAGGAAACTTCATATACTTCAGGATAAGCAGAGCAACTAAGTCTTGTTTTATACATTGGGTTATACTGTTACCCACAATGTTAAAGTGTTTCATAAATTAAAACTGTATGGACTTATTAGCAGTCATCCTCATTATCAATAATAATATGGTTTACTTTTTGAGCAGCAGTTCCTATTGAACATTCTGTGATATAAATAAGAAATAACTACACAGAACTCAAATTGTAATATAACTTATTATATAATTTAGATGCATCATTTAGGGTCAAATAAATGAGATATTTTGTAATATATAAGTAGGTAACTTCTTTGTTAATCAGATTTCTTCTAAAAGTCATATTATGTTCTAGTTATTACTTATTGAACTTTAAATTTTTAGAAAATGATTTATATATATTTTTAGTAGAACAGATAAAAAAAAAAAGACCATCCCCATCCAAAACAAACAAACAAGTGAAAAAAAAAAAACAAAATTTGAAAGATTCAATCAAAATTTGGAAGAAAAAGAGATGTCAGTATGTCCTTTGGCATTCTGTTGATAAAACAAATGATTAACTGTTAATCTTCAGTTGTTATAACATTGCATTTGCGCTTTAGAGTTAAATTGCAGTTGGCCATAGGTTTAAATTCTTTTTTTTTTTTTTATTTGTGTTTCTGACATGTTTTCAAATAATTAAGTGAAATTAAGTGATATTTTTCTGCAATTAACATCTTGCATTGCATTTTTATTTTTGTGCTCTGGACATAATTTTATGCTTTTTAAAGTGCTGTATTTTTCACATTTGAATGTTTCTTTTATAATACATTATTATTTTTGCTACTTTCCTCCAATAGAATACTAGTTTCTATATGCCTGCTTAGGAAATTGCCATTTGCTGTTTCAATCTTTAATTTGAAATCAATCCAAAATAACTGTGAACATTGTGAATGAAAGACAAGTCTAATTCATTTAACATTTTTTCCAAATGTTATAGGTTGGATGAGTGGGGAACCTATTTGATGTAGATCACATGAATATTAAATATGCTTGTATTCCAAGAAAATAAACCATGATTTGAACCTGTATTCCTAATGTGCAATATATGTGACATAAACTTTTCAAAACCTTAACAGTTTTCTAATACCTCCCTTTCCACTTAACTTTATATTCACAACTCTTATTAGGTGGTGTGCTTTATAACTGTGAGAAGTGAACTAAAAATTTTTATAAGAAAATAAGGTGTTATATGTAATTGGTATTTTATTTTAAAGAATGTTTAATGTGTACATTTGAGATTTTTATTTTCAAGTTTCCATTCATATTTTTAGAAAAAATATGTAGGTATTTGAAAAATATCTACATATTGTAGATATGAAAAATATGTAGATATTTTTCAAATATCTACATATGTCTTCTTACACTACTTCATGTAAAGTCTTTCTATTGTTATTTAAATATTAGCCTTTTATTTTAATACTTGAATGTTTAATATTGTTATATCTAAATAGATTGTATTCTTCATGAAACCTGGGACGACACAATAAAGTGACAAATTGTACATTAGTAAAAACAATATTTTGCAAGTGTGCCTGACAATTTTAAATATAAAAATACTTCAGGAGTCATTAAATTAAACCAATTTACAAACATAAACAGATAGATCAGAGTTTACAAACATAAACATACAGATCAGAGTAGGCAAAATGCTGATTAAATGTGGCCTAGTCTTGCTTTTAGTTGAATAAATAAAAATACAAGTGTTTCACATTTTAGCCTCCTTCCTGAATGGTACTTTGACCAGAAGTATTTGAGACTTGTAAAACTGAGTGATCTGAGTTTGAAGCCAGTGTATTTGTTTCACTAGCTTAAAGAGATAGAAGTGAGGAGAAAAGGAATCAAGAAAACTGGAAAATTTATAAACTGTTTTTCAACTTATGGGGATAAAAAAAATTTAATATGTTTATATTTGTTGCAATAGAAAATTCATAATTTTTTTCCTCTCTCAATACATTTGCCTTGACAAATGTGATGCCACCTACTTTTTAAGACTCATGTGATGTCTATGAATACTTGCTGAGGAACATTCTATGGTGAACTGAAATAAATAGGACAAGACTCACATACTACCTACAAACAACACAAAGTAAAGCATTTCGGATGTAGTGGCTTACACCAATATGCCAAATACATTTTGATGATATAAAAATTTTTAGTGCAATAAGATAAAATGATAAACCATTTAAACTCTTTGATCTTACTATACAAAAATATTTTATTCTGCTTTAATAAGGGTTGTGTCAGGTTTTTTTTTTTTTAATTTCTATGAGCAATAATACCAAAAGAATTCGATTCCACTCTAAGCAATTTAACCAAATGCAATTCAACCATTGATCTCACAGTTTGTCATTTTGCCCTGCTGCCTTTCTCAAGTAACAAAGATAAATTCTCTTTCAAAACAAGATTCCCTGGGGCACCTGGGTGGTTCTGTGGGTTAAGCCTCTGCCTTCAGCTCTGGTCATGATCTCAGGGTCCTGGGATGGAGCCCAGCATTGGGCTCTCTGCTCAGTAGGGAGCCTGCTTCCTATAGCAAGCCCCCACCACCGCCTGCCTCTTTGCGTACTTGTGATCTCTCTCTCTCTCTCTGTCAAATAAATGGATAAAATCTTAAAAACCAAACCGAACCAAAACAAAACCAACCAAAACAAAACCAAAACAAAATCAACCAAACAAAAACCCCCCAAATACCCATTTCAAACCCAGATGATCACCCTTTTCAGGCATCATACATCCTTATGACTGAATTAAACCCAATCAGTCTGTCAATTATCTCATCTGAGACAGGCAGTTTAAATCAGTGTTTTTCAGATTAGAATGGGAAAAAAAACCACATTTCTAAAGAAAATTTTCAAATATTTCAAAATATTCCAAAATTACCTACAGAATTATTCAAATAAAACCCTAATACTGACATAAATTAACTTTTACTATATTATTACTTAGATCCAGACAGACATAAAATAAGGCATAAACTCCTTATCCTTATAGATCAAATGAAGAACAAAACTTTAAATGACCTATGCAACCTTATTTAAACATAATAAAGGATATTATTTTGTCAAAGCTGAATAACCATTTGCAACACCAATATGTTAATGATTAGGATAGCATGGGCTTTTGATCTTGGCATACATAGTCCTATGATGATTTGATTTCTTCATAATTTTTCCCCATTTGTATTCCTGTGATGTCCTTTGGCTTTGATTACTAAAAACAAATCTTTACACAATAAATATTCATCTGCACATTTCTCATTTGCCTAAGGCAACTGAAATAATCCTATATTATTTTGCCTCAATAAGATTGAAAAAAAGAGGACAAACCTAGACACAAGTCTCACTTGAAAGTACTCCCCATAACTAATTATCTGAAAAATCCATCCTCATATCATTTAAAAATATTAAAATAACGACACAACCTTTAAAAATGATTATATATGACCTGTGAGTCTCTAAATCTGCAGATTCAAAATGAAACCCAAAATAACTAGCTTAAGGAACATGTTTGCTTTCTTTATAACCTGATGAAATTGTCTTTGGTGCTAAAACATCATGTAGGCAAAGGCATCTGACCCTCTTGAAACAGAACTTTTGGTTCTTTTCAATCATTAAATAGACAAAATCATATTTTAATCTGTTAATGAAATATGGTTCAAATTATTGCAAAAGTCTTTCTTGTATATTCTTTATCATCTGCAACTTCAAAAAAGATTGATGTTAAAAATTTGAATTATGAAATAGACCTCTTACCTTTTATTCTCTCTCACTGCTTTGTCTCCCTTTTTCCAAGAGATGGTTGGTTTTGGAGAGCCTTGAGGTTTGCACTCTATGATGACTTCTTGGTCTTTGGTAACAATTATTGTTTTCTTCAGTTGATTCAATGCAAAAGTAGGAGCCGAAGCTATGACAAAAAAAAAATGTTAATTCTACCAGAAGCAATGGCAATAACCTCTAATGGATGATTCATCATGATTTTGCAACTCTTTTGGGATACATTTCTAATAAAATTGTAGGATACCTACACACATAAAGGGCATTAACTCAAAATTTAAACTTATAATTAATTAATATCTTATTGGCTCCTCTTTCTATTAGCAGATAATGGTTTCATATAATGTGGGGTGCATAGACAATGGCTGTTTCAAAAGATAACATGATTCAATTATGATTATCAGTTTTAATCATGAAAGACGTTATAATGATCACCTTGAGCAAGAGAAGAAGGGGCTGGCCAAGAAAGTCTATCGGGGACTTTCTTTGGAAAAATGGGGGTTACATGTGGAGAAGTTGATCCTGTGTCATCCGTTTCCTATCTATGAGTCTTAATACATATTTTACTTTAATGTTATACAAAATTAAATGTAGTTTTTACAAAAATACATTTATAATTGAATTATTTAAATTTCACTTAAAATTTAACTTCATTGTTTGCAGTTACTCAACAAGGTCTGATCATTCATTAATATTAATATTGTTTTCACTAGATTTTCATGAAAATACTTTTGATTAAATTTCTTCAAGTAATTCTATTGGGCAGCTGTGGGTTGAGGATACTGGACTAAAAGAATATGGGACACAGAAACCAACACACACACATAAAAACCCTTTTTAATCTAAAAAGAACTTGAAAGATATGTCTAAGAGTCTACTCTATCTGAGACATTTATTTAAACCAATTTGACAACTTCATGGATATTTCATAAGTATTTTATGTCCATTATACAGTAGTATAATGCATGGTACAACAGCATTAAAAGCTATGTATATAACAAGAAAGATATGTATATAATTGAGATGGGTTAAGAATTGAAAGAAAAGTAAAGGAACTTTATGTGACTGCAGGTAATGATTTTGTTTGCTTACTAGGAACAGAACTTGTAAGAGGTAATTTTGAAAACATCTCTAGTGAATGAGAAAAAAAACATATTTGGGAGTATTTCTGGGTAAACTATTAACTAGGTGAAGGCTGAATTAGCTTTCTTTTTTTAAGATTTAGTTTATTTATTTATTTGAGAAAGAGCACAAGCTGGGGAAGGGAGGAGGCCAGACTCTGCACTGAGTTGGGGAGTCTGAAAGGGACTTGATCCCAGGACCCTGAAATAATGACCTGAGTTGAAGTCAGATGCTTAACCTACTGAGCCACCTGCCGAGTCACCCCTAATTGGCTTTTTAACTCAGAAATATTGCAGCGTGAGCTGAGAAGAAAGTACATTTGTATTTGATTAGTTAGGCTGTAGGAGATGGAAATTTGGACTCCTGTATCTATTTTAGGTGGGTTTATTACAATGTGGAAAAATTTTAAGAGCAAATATTCATAATTCAATAAGTTGACTTACAGTGTGCTTCATTTAGCTGATATGTAAATGATAAATTCCCAGATTCCTGAGATCTTAGGTATTTCTGTTAATATTTGCTTTGGGAATTTTAGTGCAGAGCAAGTAGTGGGCTCCTGCTCACTTTGGGTGACATGAGTTATGAACACTTAAGTCTCTCTCTTTGTATTACAAACTTCTCAGACCCATGTTTAGGAAACTAGAATGCTAAAAAGTAAAATCCATTCAGTGGCCCAAACATGCTCAGTTTGGGAAGCCTATTCTATTGGATGGAATCATTGGCTTAAATAGTAAGTAATTAAATAGTAAGGTGCTAGTGTCCTATCAAGGGTGTAATCCTCTGAGACACCTGGATGTGGCCTCAGAAAGGCCTTCCTTTTCATGTAAGGATGATAATGGTTGATACTCCATGATGAGAGGGTGCTTTACCTTGGAGTGTTGTCTCTACCTTGGAGTGTTGTCTTGTCTATGGTTAGCTGTATGGGTAAATATAAAGCATTTCTTTTCAAGTTATAAAATAGATTTTTACAATCACATTGTAAAATTTCAGTATAGGAAGAATTAGAGCATGAAAAGAAGCTACACATTTTCCCCATTTATTTACTTAGAAATTGCATACCTAGAATTTTCAGCTCAGCACTTGCATAAATGGCTCCATATTTATTTTCGGCCAAACACTGATACATTCCAGCATCCGACTGATTCACATTGTGGATCACCAATAATCCATTAACCATCTCAATCCTGTTCTGTAACAAAATTAAAAAAAAAATAGATATAGAAAGTGAATAAATCACACAGATTTTGCAGTTATTCTTTCCTAGACCAAGGGGAAAAAACCTCCAATAAATACAGTTCAGCATTACTTGACAACTCAGCAATACAAATTAACTGTTCACTATTTTATGATAAAATGTCTTTTGTAAATTATAACTATTTCTTGGCCAGAAAAGATATTATAACTGTATATTCCTGTAGTTATTCTTATGAGTTTTAGTTTCAGTTTTGTTTTTATACTGAGCAGCTTTTGTTTGGTATACTAGTACAGCTTATGAAGTATAATCAGCAGATGAAGATTTTATTTGACTTCATTTTACAGAAGGAGAAGGGGTTCACATGTGGCCTTTGGTGACAATTGCGACTGTAGGCAAGTAGGACAAAGTTAAAAATAGCCCAAATCAAAACAAGAATCCTTTTACGATGTTAATCTAGTCAGGGATTTGCCCTTTTCTCACTTGCCAACAAATTCAGGAAAGAAATTGCTCTGCAACTGGAGTCTGTATAAAATTATCGGTCAAAAAATATTAACTCCATCATCAGATAAAATATAATATAGAAGTCAAAAAACTGAGCATGTGCAAATTGCGGTCAAGTGAGGCCAAGAGCACATTTCAAAAATGAACTTGAAATTTAAAATGTTGTTAAACAACCAGGTGTCTTGTCTACTTAATGCCAAGCAAATCACTCTTTTAATTTTAGTGAGCAGTGCTTTACCTATCAAAATAGATGCAAGGTAATTTTACATAATTTTCAAAATAAACCTATTTACTTTACAGAAGTATTATCTGCCAGTGGGATTTACTTTACTTGGATGCTGAAAGTAAAAAATATGACCACTGTATTCCTTTCTCAAGGTTTATCTGGTATCCCTGGAAAATTAGAGAAAAAGAGATAATGAATCAATGTCTCAGGATTCTCATATCCTCTTTTCTTTAATAGCTCTCTAGTTCTTTGTATTTCTGTATTTCTTTAGTGTAATTGTGTTTTCTTTGGGCCTAACTGGTTTTGGAATAACGGAATGTTGGAGCTGGATGGGACTATGGGAATGATCTGATACAATCTCTTCATTTTACAAAGGGGCAAACTGAACCCCAAAGAAGTAAATGACAGAAAAGAGGCCTTTTGGTAGTGGCAGGATCTGGGCAGAACATATATATATATATATATATATATATATATATATGTTTTCAACTTCATATACTACCCCTCCATTTTGGCCATACCTAGTAAACTATTCTCCCTTTGCTTTCAATAAGGAAGTTAGCTAAAATTATTACTATTATTTTAAAATTAAATAGTAATTGATTTTAAAAAAAACATGCAGTAGATTTACTAAAAAGATATTTAAGTTTTTTAAATCCTGCTAAGTAGGATGTCACAGAAAAAACTTGTCCAGGATACAGAAAGCTAGGATTCTATTATGGTCTCATTTCTCACTAGATACGTGACCTTGGGCAAGTCACTTTACTTCTGGGCCTGAACTACACCATTTGTAGGGGGACAGCAACAAGGTATATGATATCTAAAAGTCAGCAGGGCACCTGGGTGGCTCAGTGGGTTAAAGCCTCTGCCTTCAGCTCAGGTCGTGATCCCAGGGTCCTGGGATCGAGCCCCGCATCGGGCTCTCTGCTCCGCAGAGAGCCTGTTTCCTCCTCTCTCTCTGCCTGCCTCTCTGACTAGTTGTGATTTCTCTCTGTCAAATAAATAAAACATTAAAAAAAAAAGTCAGTTAGAAATAGCAATGAATCTATGATAGTAATTGATATTTTCCTATGAATTTATAGGATTGAATAAATTAAAAGAAACAATGTATTACTTAAAAAAGTAATGAGATAATTTAAAAAAATTATTATACATCTCTTATAGTTCTCACTTCAAATACATTAGAAGGCACAAATAAGAAATGACTTGCCATAAGACGAAAGGGGGTAGTTTGTCCTGTGTGAAATCCTGTTAAATTACACAAGAAAAGGCTAACATTTACCAATAGTACCTGAGGCAAGAGGGGCACTCCATTCTTCAGCCAACGGTATGTGGGTCGGGGTTTTCCAGTAGCCTTGCATTCCCATCGAAGAGGGCTCCCACTGTCCAGCTGAGTGTCATTCAGTTTTTCCACCCAGTGTGGATAAGCTATGAGAATTTAAGCATTAAAGAAAGATGATTTCAGCAAGATGGCAGAGAAGTAGCAGGCTGAGACTATTTCAGGTAGCAGGAGATCAGCTAGATAGCTTATTTAAAGATTGCAAACACCTACAAATCCAACGGGAGATCGAAGAGAAGAAGAACAGCAACTTTAGAAACAGAAAATCAACCACTTTCTGAAAGGTAGGACTGGCAAGAAGTGAATCCAAAGCGACGGGAAGATAGACCGCGGGGGGAGGGGCCGGCTCCCGGCAAGTGGCGGAGCAACGGAGCACAAAATCAGGACTTTTAAAAGTCTGTTCTGCTGAGGGACATTGCTCCAGAGGCTTAACCGGGGTGAAGCCCACGCAGGGTCAGCGTGGCCTCAGGTCCCGCAGGGTCACAGAAGGATCGGGGATCTCTGAGTGTCACAGAGCTTACAGGTATTAGAACGGGGAAGCCGGCTACAGAGACAGAGCTGAGGAGTAAGCTCTAACCTCGGGGTTACCTTGAACCGGTCGCAGGCTTGGTCAGCTCGGAGCGTGGCCAGAAGCCAGGGAGACGGGAGTAATTGGGCGCTGTTCTCTGAGGGCGCACTGAGGAGTGGGGCCCCGGGCTCTCGGCTCCTCTGGGCCTGAGAACAGGAGGCCGCCATCTTCATTCCCGCCCTCCGGACTCTACGGAAATCGCTCAGGGAACAAAAGCTCCCAAAAGCAAACCCAATCGGATTACTCAGACCGGCCTGGGTAAGGGCGGTACAACTCCGCCTGGGGCAAAGACACTTCAGAATCACTACAACAGACCCCTCCCCAAGAAGATCAACAAGAAACCCAGCCAGGACCAAGTTCACCTACCAAGGAGTGTAGTTTCAATACCAAGGAGAGCAGCAGAATTCCAGAGGAGGAGAAAGCAAAGCACGGAACTCATAGCTTTCTCCCCATGATTCTTTAGACTTGCAGTTAATTTAATTTTTTTTTATTTTTCAATTTTTTTTCTTCTTCTGCTAAATTTTTTTAACTTTTACCGTTTTCTTTTTTAACGTTTTTTTAAAAAGTTTATCTAATATATATATATATATATATATTCCTTTTTATATTTTTTTCTTTATTGATTTTCTTTTTTTAATTGTTTCTTTATTATTTTTTTTCTTTATGAACCTCTTTTTAACCCCTTTCTCCCCCCTCACGATTTGGGATCTCTTCTGATTTGGCTAAAGTATATTTTCCTGGGGTTGTTGCCACTCTTTTAGTATTTTACTTGCTCCTTCATCTACTCTTATCTGGACAAAATGACAAGGCGGAAAAATTCACCACAAAAAAAAGAACAAGAGGCACTACCAAAGGCTAGGGACCTAATCAATACAGACATTGGTAATATGTCAGATCCAGAGTTCAGAATGATGATTCTCAAGGTTCTAGCCGGGCTCAAAAAGGCATGGAAGATATTAGAGAAACCCTCTCGGGAGATATAAATGCCCTTTCTGGAGAAATAAAAGAACTAAAATCTAACCAAGTTGAAATCAAAAAAGCTATTAATGAGGTGCAAACAAAAATGGAGGCTCTGACTGCTAGGATAAATGAGGCAGAAGAAAGAATTAGCGATATAGAAGACCAAATGACAGAGAATGAAGAAGCTGAGCAAAAGAGGGACAAACAGCTACTGGACCACGAGGGGAGAATTCGAGAGATAAGTGACACCATAAGATGAAACAACATTAGAATAATTGGGATTCCAGAAGAAGAGGAAACAGAGAGGGGAGCAGAAGGTATATTGGAGAGAATTATTGGAGAGAATTTCCCCAATATGGCAAAGGGAACAAGCATCAAAATCCAGGAGGTTCAGAGAACCCCCCTCAAAATCAATAAGAATAGGTCCACACCCCGTCACCTAATAGTAAAATTTACAAGTCTTAGTGACAAAGAGAAGATCCTGAAAGCAGCCCGGGAAAAGAAGTCTGTAACGTACAATGGTAAAAATATTAGATTGGCAGCAGACTTATCCACAGAGACCTGGCAGGCCAGAAAGAGCTGGCATGATATATTCAGAGTACTAAACGAGAAAAACATGCAGCCAAGAATACTATATCCAGCTAGGCTATCATTGAAAATAGAAGGAGAGATTAAAAGCTTCCAGGACAAACAAAAACTGAAAGAATTTGCAAATACCAAACCAGCTCTACAGGAAATATTGAAAGGGGTCCTCTAAGCAAAGAGAGACCCTAAAAGTAGTAGATCAGAAAGAAACAGAGACAATATACAATAACAGTCACCTTACAGGCAATACAATGGCACTAAGTTCATATCTCTCAATACTTACCCTGAATGTTCATGGGCTAAATGCCCCAATCAAAAGACACAGGGTATCAGAATGGATAAAAAAACAAAACCCATCTATATGTTGCCTACAAGAAACTCATCTTAAACCCGAAGACACCTCGAGATTTAAAGTGAGGGGGTGGAAAAGAATTTACCATGCTAATGGACATCAGAAGAAAGCAGGAGTGGCAATCCTTTTATCAGATCAATTAGATTTTAAGCCAAAGACTATAATAAGAGATGAGGAAGGACACTATATCATACTCAAAGGAACTATCCAACAAAAAGATCTAACAATTTTAAATATCTATGCCCCTAACGTGGGAGCAGCCAACTATATAAACCAATTAATAAAAATAATCAAAGAAACACATCGACAATAATACAATAATAGTAGGGGACTTTAACACTCCCCTCACTGAAATGGACAGATCATCCAAGCAAAAGATCAACAAGGAAATCAAGGCCTTAAATGACACACTGGACCAGATGGACATCACAGATATATTCAGAACATTTCATCCCAAAGCAACAGAATACACATTCTTCTCTAGTGCACATGGAACATTCTCCAGAATAGGTCACACCCTGGGTCCTAAATCAGGTCTCAACCGTTATCAAAAGATTGGAATCATTCCCTGCATATCTTCAGACCACAATGCTCTGAAGCTAGAACTCAATCACAAGAGGAAATTTGGAAAGAACCCAAATACATGGAGATTAAACAGCATCCTTCTAAAGAATGAATGGGTCAACCAGGAATTTAAAAAAGAGTTGCAAAAATTCATGGAAACAAATGATAATGAAAACACAACGGTTCAAAATCTGTGGGACACAACAAAGGCAGTCCTGAGAGGAAAATATATAGCGGTACAAGCCTTTCTCAAGAAACAAGAAAGGTCTCAGGTACACAACCTAACCCTACACCTAAAGGAGCTGGAGAAAGAACAAGAAAGAAACCCTAAACCCAGCAGGAGAAGAGAAATCATAAAGATCAGAGCAGAAATCAATGAAATAGAAACCAGAACAAATCAACGAAACTAGGAGCTGGTTCTTTGAAAGAATTAATAAGATCGATAAACCCCTGGCCAGACTTATCATAAAGAAAAGAGAGAGGACCCCAATAAATAAAATCATGAATGAAAGAGGAGAGATCACAACTAACACCAAAGAAATACAGACAATTATAAGAACATACTATGAGCAACTCTACGCCAACAAATTTGACAATCTGGAAGAAATGGATGCATTCCTAGAGACATATAAACTACCACAACTGAACCAGGAAGAAATAGAAAGCCTCAACGACCCATAAGCAGTAAGGAGATTGAAACAGTCATCAAGAATCTCCAAACAAACAAAAGCCCAGGGCCAGACGGCTTCCCCGGGGCAATTCTACCAAACATTTAAAGAAGAACTAATTCCTATTCTCCTGAAACTGTTCCAAAAAATAGAAATGGAAGGAAAACTTCCAAACTCATTTTATGAGGCCAGCATCACCTTGATCCCAAAACCAGACAAGGATCCCATCAAAAAAGAGAACTACAGACCAATATCCTTGATGAACACAGATGCAAAAATTCTCGCCAAAATACTAGCCAATAGGATTCAACAGTACATTAAAAGGATTATTCACCACGACCAAGTGGGATTTATTCCAGGGCTGCAAGGTTGGTTCAACATCCGCAAATCAATCAATGTGATACAACACATTAATAAAAGAAAGAACAAGAACCATATGATACTCTCCATAGATGCTGAAAAAGCATTTGACAAAGTACAGCATCCCTTCCTGATCAAAACTCTTCAAACTGTGGGGATAGAGGGCACCTACCTCAATATTATCAAAGCCATCTATGAAAAACCCACCGCAAATATCATTCTCAATGGAGAAAAACTGAAAGCTTTTCCGCTAAGGTCAGGAACACGACAGGGATGTCCGTTATCACCACTGCTATTCAACATAGTACTAGAAGTCCTAGCCTCAGCAATCAGACAACAAAAGGAAATTAAAGGCATCCAAATCGGCAAAGAAGAAGTCAAACTATCACTCTTCGCAGATGATATGATACTATATGTGGAAAACCCAAAAGACTCCACTCCAAAACTGCTAGAACTTGTACAGGAATTCAGTAAAGTGTCAGGATATAAAATCAATGCCCAGAAATCAGTTGCATTTCTCTACACCAACAACAAGACAGAAGAAAGAGAAATTAAGGAGTCCATCCCATTTACAATTGCACCCAAAACTATAAGATACCTAGGAATAAATCTAACCAAAGAGACTAAGAATCTATACACAGAAAACTATAAAGTACTCATGAAAGAAATTGAGGAAGACACAAAGAAATGGAAAAATGTTCCATGATCCTGGATTGGAAGAATAAATGTTGTGAAAATGTCTATGCTACCTAAAGCAATCTACACATTTAATGCAATTCCTATCAAAGTACCATCCATTTTTTTCAAAGAAATGGAACAAATAATCCTAAAATTTATATGGAACCAGAAAAGACCTCGAATAGCCAAAGGAATATTGAAAAAGAAAGCCAAAGTCGGTGGCATCACAATTCCGGACTTCAAGCTCTATTACAAAGCTGTCATCATCAAGACAGCATGGTACTGGCACAAAAACAGACACATAGATCAATGGAACAGAACAGAGAGCCCAGAAATAGACCCTCAACTCTATGG